GGCGGGATGGGGATTCGACCCCGCGACTCTCAGATTGCGAGTCGTGTACCCTAACCACCTGGCCATGCCGGGCAGAAACCTAAATAGAGATTTTTGGTAAAGAAGGTCTAAAACGTTTCAGTTGTACAACTCGTAAGTATGAATTACTGATTAGTACCAGGGAATAAATTGCACACCTCATAAAATTCAAATGCATTGTCACGATTATAGAATTTAAAAAGAAAATTATACGTGATAAAAGATTCACTTCTTTGACGACATATTAAATATGCTATAAAAACTACTTCTCCCACTGACCGAACTGTAGCTAAACCAATAGTAATATCTCAGCTAAAGATTATTCCAAGAAATACGTGCATGACCAGTAGTCGTAATAATATAAAGGCAACTTTCGTAACTACAGCGGGTTAAATGGTAATAAACTAACAAAACATTCAAGTAATGGGGCAGCTTTTGGAACAGACAATGAAAAAAAAGAGGTTTGTGCACGATACTGTAGTTTTTATAGTTGGTGGTGTACTTTCAGTACTTTGTGCCATTTAAGCTACGCCCCTTCAGCCAAGATAAATGTTATATTTATCTTCCTCATATCGTACTTTCTACTCGATATTCTACGGAACACAAAATTCCTGACAGTTCTTAGAAAACTCCTAGAACAAGGTAATATTTTATGCTTGAAAATAACAAGCTTATCATCGATCTCGTTTCGCCTCAAAACAGTTGGAGTTTTTTCTTCGTTTCTATCTTTAGATTTTTTCGTTTTTGCAGTTCATGGTAAAAGCACTTGTCTGTTTAGTATATTTCATTAAAAATAAAAATAATTGATACCTCTTACATACCGTGAGAATAGCAAACATCACTTGAGCAACGTTAAAAGCGTGGCGCCAGTTGTGATATGGGACATTCCGGTAATTCTTCCTCAAAGTACATAAAAACTGGCAAAGAGACTAAGAAAAAGAAACATCCTTTTTAATAAAAACGAAAGTTATGACATATCAAAGTAATAACTTTTTGTAAAATGACTTGAATGATGAATATGCCTAAGATTATCCTTATGCATACGAAGTTCAAATTGTCGCTCACCAAATTCTAATCGACTTTTAAACACTGAACCCAAACTATAAAAAATGGATTGCTTGGTTATAATAATATAAAAATACAAGAAACGTTTCAAAATAAGCTTTCAAAGTACAAGTAATATAAAATAATACATTTTAACTTGCACAATTAACAATAATACAACTTCGTTTTTGTCTTAATTTTTTTCTCTCTTTTGGTATAGCCATAATTAAGTGAAAACGGACGAAATTTCTAGCACGAGACGGATAGCAAGTTTTTTTCTTTCAAATATTCGTAAAAAGCTAATTAATGACTATCTGTCCCTAATTTTGAACTGACAAGAGAGGATGCAACTATACAACAGTACCACCAACTATTGGGATACTCTAATCAAATACTGGGATTTGACTATCATTCTTATAACGCGCCCACAGCCCCAAAGTGAGGGGGCAGGTAATAATTTATTTTACGTATATTTCTTATAAACATTGAAAAAAGTTTGGAATGTTTTTCAAAATTCAGTAAATAATAGCTATTCTCAAAATTAATAATTACAACAGATATTGAAATAATAAATCAGTTTGGTGAAGTGTGAGAAACGTACATATTTTATCGATCTTGTTAGATCTCCAAAATGTGTTCATTAATTGTAGATTTGAAGTTAAAATGAATTAAAACATTTTGAAAGGATATTTATATTACGAATATGCAAATGGATTTTAAGTACAGGTATTTGTACTTTTAATATATAAATGCAACGTTTTATTTTATACAAAATATGGTTCCACTTCGGTCCAATCTGCATGCAGTTTACGAAAAACAAACAAACATGAGCTCCTTTTTTTTTTTTCAGTAACTGTTTGATATATCGAAACTTTAAACATTACGTATTCAATATTTCTCACGCCAGTAGGTTTGTTATTTGATTAAGATTTAAGTTACAAAATTAAAATAAAGTGTATTGAAATCGTAATATAAAATACTCTCAGATTATAATATTTCTTATTTTATCAATGGGTTTTGGATACCTGATAATCAATACGAAACTTTGATATTAATCCTAAATTTTGGAACATCCTAATGGAAGCAAGGATCATTTCGTCAGAACTAAGAGAAAAGTCATCAAACTTTAAACTTTCTAATTGCCATTCATCACCAGATGGTATCTTAGTGTCCTGGAAATGAAACAAAAAATTTACACTTATTTAAACAACACTTCAAATGTCATTAACAAACAAACGTTCTCGATCCAGTAACTTTAGAAATTAAATGAGAAAAGACAGAAGTGTCATTTGATGTACCACTACCAACTTGTCTTTGTCACACGAATTAAAAATTAGCAATGATATTAAAAACTGAAAAGCGTGACATAACACAAAATAACTGTTTGCCAGAATACATTCGAAGCGATTTTAATATATTTTAAGACGATCTTTTTAGTGTTTTTTTTTCAAAGTTATTCGAATATAAAGTAGGGTAACTTAGCACTAGTTCGTAATGAGTATCGTCAAGTTGATTGTGAGTATTCAAATTATGTTTTACTTCAGAAGAATTGACTATGCAACTTTAAGCCAAAAAGTATGCTCCATTTATACTCGCTTGTTTATCTAAGCTATAGAATCACATTTATTCTAATTAATCCCTCTAAGATGGGTTGGCTTATTTCACTTCCTTAACCTTAATTAAAATGTAAATTTTTAGTCTGCACGAGTTCAAACTTGTTACTTGACCCATGGTTGAGCGAACAAATTTAAGTTATGTAGGACTGAAGAATAAGCCAAGTTAAAAATATCCAACTTTTCTACGTTACCTCTCGTAGTCGTACAAAATTTGATATATTGCCGATAGGTTGACTTTTAGTAAAATTTATAACTAATGTTTACATTCTTAGCCCTGGTGGTTGGATTATGCTAGAAACAACTTCAAATATACATCTTATTTGTTTAGGAATACACATACGTCAGTATACGCGTAAACATAATGAGCCAAGAACAGGTTTCTTGATATTTGAAACGGTGAATACAATATTGCGATACACTGACAGAAAAGGTGCATGTTACACAGAGTTAACTTTGCAAAAACTTGGAACAAAGATGATCTAACATAAACCTTTTTTTTTTTTAATGTGATCTTTGCTGCAAAGTTTTAGCAAACAAGAAACGTTAGAAAATTGAAAGTAAAAAATTAAATCCATTAGCTTATTTTGACGAAGTTTCCTATTTTAATGTTTGTCACTTAACTAAAGTACACAACTAATTGTACAGTTTTGATCGTTTACCAATCGATGAAATTCATTTAAATTTCACTTACACAAAACGCTGAAGAAAATCACCGTTTTGTTAATGAGGATTTGTCCTTGTTTAAAGACAGAAGTGCGTTAGTTTTGTTACGAAAAAAGATCATTTTTAATTTCCTCACCAAAAATCTTTGCACTTCCTTCCTGGAAGATGTTCCATGATAAGAAATGACCTGTGGACAAAATAGGGATATAATTATAATTGTGTGTTACACACCTAGTCAAACTGATGTATACCGATGTAGGGTGAAGATTTAAATTAGAAGAAACTGGAACTGATTATAAATTAAAACGTATACAGCTGTAGAAAAACATTCGCTAGTTTGAACTTAGGTATCTTTTAAAACTGACTAAACATTCAACAAAACCGCAAGAAACTAGAAATAAAAACAATGGAAGAACTCAAAATTTAATAATATCAACAAGTTAATAATCATTATCTACTTATTTTCAAATAAATTACAAAACTACCATAAACAAATTTCATATTAGAGAATAAAGAAGTGCACTGTAATATAATTAAAAAGTTATAACAGCAAAACTAAAACAATTACATCAGGAATTATATGGAATTCCATATAGTTTCCTAACACAATTGATTAAAGTAAATGGTTGAGAATAAATAGCTAAATATTTTAATTGTCAATTGATATAAATAATTAAATATAAAAACGCGTCAAAATACTAGTAGTCGGAGAATAATCGAAGAAGTATAAAAGAAAATAATAACTAAATGATGATTCCGACGATAGTAATTATAAAATTAATAATTTAACAGACACAGGGCCAAGCCAGTCTATTCTAGGTGGTAAACATTAATAAATTAGACCACTAAATAAATAAAATATACAACATTTTGCGAGTCAGCTTCCGGGTCTTAATGAACAGAAAGTCGATTTTCAAAATGCTATTATACAGAGTACATTAGCCTGTCTGTTTACTAGCATGGCATCTTGATAACTGTTGCCAAGGTAACAGCGAAAACAGAACAAGTGTTTATTAATTAGTGGTATTCAAAATGAACAGCATAATTAAATCTTTCTAAATCTACTAGATTTGATATTGTCAATACGGTACAAACTTTTAGTTGGAATTATAAGTATTAAAAGTGTCCACACACATACAAACACACATTAAACTAAATTAAAAGGAATAGTAAATAAGAGCTCCCATTGACTGACTAGAGCAAGTTATCCTTACCAGTGGTTACTTGGTATAACATTGTACAGTTTTCTGAAACCACACGCGTATTTACTAATATAACATGTATACGATGGGACGAACCTCAATTGCTACTTTCTGTCGGGCCATGGCTTTCTCCAACTCACCGTACATCAACGTATTGTTGATGCCCAAACCGCAGAAAAGTGTGAATGCCTACCAAAACAACATAGAAATATCGGTACAAATTACTAAATCGAACAATGAACATTTGAAATTTTCATTAGTCTAGTGGAAAAGTAAGCGTTGGGAGGTGGTGGGAACGAATTATCAGTGTTTTCTTAAAATCAAAATATGGTAGTTTTTAAGTAATCATAATTGAACAATTTAGTTCAAGGGCCAATAACCTGATGAGCTTAAAAGACGAAGTCGAAAACATTTCTCATGATTATCAATTATTAGGATCATGAAGGCTTTTAAAATGAAATGATTAAAATCTTTCACTTCGGATAGGCACAACACTATTTTATATACGTAACACAAGTTTCAAAAATGTTTAATATGATTAAACATCGTGCAACGCTTTTTAAAAGAACAGACATACTTCTCGAGTGTATTGGAGAATACGGCATGCAGTAATTTTAAAGATGACATGGATAAGGTTGAAAATTGTTTTGACCAGCAAGATAAATATCATACAAAACTTAAAAAGCCAACGCTTTTTTGAATCCAAAATATTTTATGATTATCATTAAGAGAAAGCTTGCTGAATGTAATAAATGTCTTTTTTTTTAATTATGTATCGCTGTTTTCCCAATTATATTTCTGCCATTATACAGAACAGCTGATTTAATAGTCGAATTGTTATCTCATAAATACTTTGCGTTCTCTATAAGTATTTCATACAACTGTCGGTCATAAATGGGATTCTTAGTGTAAATATTTCATGCTACTTTGTACTTTTAATTAATATATAACTACTTGAATTTCTTCAATACGCTAATAATTCGCCGAAAAACTAAATCACAGCCACTTTTATGGAAACTGGAAGTATTTAATCTACTCAGCTAGAAAGAAACACCTTCTGAACTCCGGTTTAATAATGACCGAATTCTAAAATTAGTCTTCGTTTTCATTAAAATGTTATGGTATACCGAACAATCATAAGCTTTATATATCATTCATTTTTTACCTCAAATAGTTGTTCATCATTCTCGTCAAAAGACGTACCATCTGTCCTGTTAATGATAATAGCGACGCCTACAAGGAAAATAGTAAAACTTTACAAAGAAATTAAACTACAAATCTCTGCATAGGAAAACGTAATAGATAAAGTTCTTCACTTAAACGATAACTTCCAAGAACAAATAAGAATTTGAAGTAATTGTTAGACTCTAGCAGTTTTTTGTTGTTGTTTTGTCTCACTCCTTGATACTAAAAACATTATATAGCAGCCATTCTGAAATCAGGGAACAACATTCATGTCACTTAGTTGTTCAGTGCCATTAACAGAATATTATTGTCTACAGGTTTTGTTCATAATAAACAAAGGTATTGTATTTATTACGTATGCACTGTATACTGAAGATCAAATATTTAAATGATTAAATAACACATTCTATAATACTACTACTATTAATAATAATAACATGATGTCATAATTTTAAAGACACTATTGAAACAGTTTTAGAGTTTCTGGTTCCATTCATCTTGTGCACAGCGCATTCTATAATAAAAAAAAATATTTGACGACGGTAACCAACCCTTAATGTTAAGTGACATTCAATGAACGTAACCACAGAAATTACTTTAGTGCCACGTGTCGCTTAACTATCACCCGTTTGGTTGTTTTAGCGCAAAGTAGGCTATCTGCGCATTGACCACCGCAAGTATCTAACCCTTAATTCTAACATTATAAGTACTCGAGCTTACCGCTGAGCCACCGGGAAGTAGCCATCAACAGTAAATACAAGGTAAAACACCTCAGACGTCAGAAATGTTACGTTTCATTTTCAAACACGCAAACTAACTCTGGTGTCATAATGTTGAGCATAATAGTTATATCTAGATCATCAGTAAACCATATTTAGTGTTGTAACGATATCTTAAACCAGTCTTGGTGTATCGAATATATGTGCATTAATATTAACCCGTGTCACTAAAATTGTGCCTAAACAACTTAGTTTACATGTCGAGTTTGATGAGAGTGGAAAGATTATGAAGAAATAAGTGAGGTTACAAATATTAAGATTACTTTATATGTTTGTTTTAAATAAACAGGTGGCTTTCCACCCATCGTTATTGAAGTAACTAATCTTAACCTTGAAACTACGAACTTTCTATGTCGCTCAGTATCGATAGATTATTGCGTCGTATAGACCAATTTATGTTTTTGCCTCCTACTAACACACAGAAGCTAACGGTGAAATCATTCGTTTTCTATGTATGGGGAAAGCCAGCAGTAGTTCGAGGAATTCAATGTAATATTAATGATAGAGTTTCTTGTGTGACTTGCGCAACCAACAAAGTCATGAAACACAAGAAATTTGGTGCATAAATAGTCCAGAAAAATGAGTTTTGAAAAGCCAATATAAATTATAGGCTTAAAAAAATACTGTTTCAAATAAAACAAAATACAACATGGATAACTTAAAGTAAAATACTTAAATATGCTTAAACCTAAAATAAGACAATCCTTCAGTTCTACTTACCGATAATCCTGTAATCCCTGTTTCTGATTGGCATGCTAAGCAAAGACCAAATGTGTCGCCCACCAACCTGTTGAATCTAAAAGCGAAGTTGGTAAGAAACATTTAAACTAAACATCCCAGTTCTGGTTGTTTAAGTAACATTCTAAATTACCCATTTCACCAAAGCAACTTTCTTCATCAGGGAACCAATTTGCTCCTGATGAAGAAAGGTCTACCTTTAGGAAGCAGTCAGGTTATAGGATTCCTCCTTTTTGCATTTAATTGATTTTTCAACCTACATGTTCCCTTAACGCCATGAAAAGTGCTTGAGTTGACTTTTTTTTCTTTTTTTTTAATCAAATCGTTCCTGTTGGTAAACTACTCAAACAGATTTGTACAGCATGGGATTGCTGTTCGCAAATTGGATGTCAAACCTGATCTAATTCCTTCATTAGATTAGACCTTGTAGAATACAAAAAAGGTATTGAAATTTTGTCTAATCATCAGTTCACCTAGAAAGTTGGTTATTTCAACAGTATTTTTCAAATAGCAACTGATTTATCTCTATCTGGTGAAGATGAAACTTGATGAACAGTATTTGAAACGGTTCGCACACACACAAAGTATAAAAAGATAAATACTACATGCATGTTACGAAGTGTAGGAAACATCAGTTGGGGTTGAGAGAAGTAAAAAAAAAGTCGACTTTTGGTCAGTTCCTAGGACATTAAGGAATTACAGTACTATAGCTATTAGGAAGTTATCAGATAGAACAGCTGACTTTATTCAGCGGTATGTTCTTGTTTATACGTATTCTCTTTCATCTTCCGGTTTCCTTTCCTTTCTTATGTTAAACTCTTGTCTTTTATATCAATTTCTCAGAAACCACACCGAACATCTTTCTCTCTGACCGTGTACACCTGTTTTTATTATAATGACTAAAATCCGATACTCACAGGGGATCATGTTGTCTCCATATCGCTTAAGAATATAGGCGGTTACTCCCTCCAGTAACCTCCTAGAGACTTAGAGAGCCGTAGTCCCTTAGAGACTGACCAAAAGCAGGCCGCCTTCTCACTTCTCTCAACTGCAAACGATGTTTTTCTACACCTTCATAACAGGGAATGCCACTCTTACCATGTGAAAATAAAATGCACCAGAGTACAGTTACATATTGATAATCAACACTGACTGGAAGTACCACACAAGCATGTGAAGATCAAAGCTTTAACTTTGTTGTTATTATTAAGCAACCGCGAGTATCGTAACTAGATTTTTAGTGTTTTTAAGCACTTAGACTTATCGCTGAAACATCGGAGGGGGGATTTGAACTTGAAGTTTGGAATACTCCATATGTCAGTAAAATCTGTATGCAGGATTGTGTCGGATTTATTATTATATATTTATTTTAATATCGATGTTTGCTTGAATTAAATTTATATTTAAAAATGTACATAACTTATACTGTTAAATATGTATTGTGAAACTACCGCGTAGTCTCTAAAGTTGTAGAAGATTCTCGAGTCTAAGAATCAGCAGTATACGTGTGTAAGTAAACGCTAGTGTTAGCGTTAGTATTGTTACGTAACCTGAATTTTCGAGAAACTCTCTACACGCCTATAAATATAACCAACGCCGCCCCCCCCCCCAACAAGTATCTATTACTGATTTGCTATACAATTCGGAAGCAATAACTTTATTTTTTAATTTTTATTCTTACTAATCGGGAACTTCAGATATTTGACCAGGAACGTTTATAAATTTCAAACCATTTAACTTCAGTGGATTCACATCGGACATTAGTACTTTTACAAAAACATTAACTAACGTCATCGGTGGAAACTCGACCTGTAATCGGCGTGTGATTATTGAGAACTACAGGGCTAGCTAGCTCCCTGTTAAGTGAATTATACCTATGTCAACTCGAAATTAACTCGCTCATCGTCAACCCTCGATAATACATCAAGGAAGTTCCAGACCAGAAAGACTGTATATTGCTTGCAAGTTTGTAAAACTTGTGTATAAATAATTGTTCGTAATAACTATTTGTAATAAATGTTATTGTAAATTGTATTGTTGTTTATATATTAAAATATATTTGTATTACAAAAGAAAACTACTAAATTTAAAGTATAATTTAACTCAATTTCAGACTATTTGAAATTCTAATACGTAACAGGATTTTGAAGAGGGTACGTGAAACTGGCACTGTTGGTAATTGAATTGGTCAAGGTAGAAAACCGAAACACTTCAAAGATTGAGGTTAAGTATCCCAGGGTATGTTCTTTCACGATGACGGTCGAGTACAGATCACGTATGAATGTTAATTCGAGAGCGGCAAGATACAATGGTATTCTTAGACTTCCCTGATTTTCCTCAGAGTATAACGGATAGAAACCGCCAAGTAACAAAACATTCGAGAGAAGCTGTCACGAAGCAGTGCCCGAATTTCACTGACTTAAACAGTCAGACTTAGAAGACTGAAAACAACTTTGCACACAATCAGAATTAAAGCTGAAAACAAGAACCTTTGTACTGCATTTAAATGGAGAGAGATCGAAAAGTTTATTCGTACTCTACTTTGAGCTCACGATTTTTGAGCCGACATGTATGTGAAACTTGAGACGGTTGAGCCATATCTACATCTGAATATATGTAACAATATTCTTTGACATTTTTTAAGCCCGCAAAAATCTTAACACCTGACATAGGAGCCAGCCCAGCATCTTTTAGTACTGAGCCTAGGATGGTCAACTGAAAGGTTATTCCGGAAACCTGTGATTTAGGATTATTTCGATAGATCTCGATGAATGAAGTTCGGCACAACTTCTAAAACGAGAAAGAAAAAAAAATTAAGTATTAACGAAAATATGACATGTTGATATCTATATGGATTATACTATAGTGGTATATATTTACTCTTAATTCCGGAAATAACTTTTTAATTTGAGAATCGCTAGAGAAATTATCTTGTAATACATCGTACATCAACTTCAAAACTGCATTTTAAGGCTTTACTGTGCCTTTAGTTCTTCACAATACTGAAACTAATGATTTCTTATATATGATTCCAATCCTTCTTTTTAGACATAACGACACTGTTGTGACCTTTATATATAGTTTCGCTGTTAATGCACTAATTAATTGACGAACCTCCGATTTAGCTGGTATATCAAATCAATAGGGATATATTAGAATAAGTTCTTCCCTCATCCAGCCTGGACCCACGGTTTAGCTTAATCTATACACTTAAACCATCACATTCACAACCACATCTAAAACATTTCAAGCATGTTTCACTGTCACATTGCTTTACTTTACATTTACAAGTTAACTTCTCAATGACGACTCTCATGGTCTCGGGTCAGGTTCAGTAACGTGGTCCTCGAAAATAGTGACAAAAGTCTTCCTTTTGTTTAATTAAAACAACCCAAACTTTTTCGGAATGACTTTTTTCATCCAAATCAAGATGCCGGACCCGTGTGGCAGGTGATAAAAAAAGTCTTTATATCAGTTCTGCTCAATTCTAAAACTGGTGAAAATCTGTCGTAAACTGAGAGATGACATTACAAACATATACCTCTCTTCTCTCGATGAACGCGCTGTCCACGTTATTGAGACCATGTCATTGTTAACGAGGTGTTATACCCGTAGACTATCACTTGAATTGTCATCAGAAAGGTTCACTGTCGCTATCTGTAGCAGTTGTTTTTTTAATAAGGAGCACGTATTATGCCCTTGGTAACTCACCCAGTTCCATGAATAACTAAGGCAACTTATATATATATATATATCGAGAACGAAACCTGAAGTATACTGAATTTTGAAACTTATCTAATAGGTAAATGGGTAGGAAATGCATGGTATTTTCATATACTACAACACACATTAGCACAAATGGACGTGAAACTACTCGAAAACAACTACTGAGAAAATATAACTAAACCAAAAGGTTGAGTCAACAGATCACAAACAGTGGAATGAGTAAATCTGAAGATGCGTGCTCTTTAGTGATGAATCAAAGTTTGATTTGTTGAGCAAAAATCAGCGTGACGGCAGAGTGAAGTACAGTATACAGTGAATCATGTTGAGAGATCAGTACAGTTTAGGGCTGCACCTAAGCCAACGGTGTCGGAGATCTACATGAAGCTGATGGTTATCCTGACGACTGAGAATTACAGCAGCTTCCGATTAATTATGTCATTCACACTGGAACATGGCTTATGTGGAAGGGATTCATTTTCCAGAGAGAAAATAATCCCAAGCATACAACATATGTATGAAATGGGTGGTGGATAGGCAGATGGAACATCTACAACCATAGCCTAGCCTGTAAAAAGTCGCATAGTCCTATACACTTTCAAGAATATTTAAATCGTAAGAACTAACATCAAAAAGCACCCAAAAAATCCGGCTGAATTTTTGCGAGTAATACATGACATTTGGAACAGTAATACTATTCCACAATTTACATTGATAAAACGTACAGTAGCTTTAAAATAAGGTTTAATGCTATAGTTGCCATTACTTGTTTGCGACTCCTGAATGTGTAATGCTTGCGCTTCCTTGATTGTTTCCATTACTGTACATGTATTCCACTAACAAAATACAATTTTGATATAATTTTAGGCGATATGTGATATACGATTACACGCTATTCATTTCATTTAGAAAGTATCGGCCGTCAGAATTAACACACTTGACGTGTACACGTGTAATGCTAAATGTTAATCAATACATTCGTTACTAAACGTTACCGTAAACTGTGAAGTCAACATTGTGTAACGCTACATTTTCTTCATTTTTTGACTATTGCTATAATAAAATGTAGCTCCAACTTGTATACACGCACACGATGTTTTAACACTTGTTCACATTATCAAGCATTTTAAGATAATTTTGATAGTTTTATAATTGTATCATTATGAAATACTAAATCCACTGATAAAAGTACAAAGTTTCGAGGCCAGGAATCAACAACATTTATTCCTTTAATTACATTTTAAACTTTTAGTATATAAAAGTTAAGTAAGGTTTAGGTTGTTGATATTTGGTCTGTCTCGCGAGGGAAAAACAAACTTTACTTGTGTAGCTCTAACAGAAAATACGTTTTATATGAAGTCATACTTGTGACGACGCCTTAATGAAACAGAGGTATTACGCTAACAAAACACGATAAAGTTAAGAGAGAATAAAGTGCGAAATAAAACTACAACACGAGTAAATGCACGTAGAGCACATTTATTCTGAATTAACTATATGCTATCGGTACGCGATCATAAGTACAGTTCATCATTTATACGAACCTCTTCATTCATTTAGGAAGGTGTAAAAAAGGAAAACATATTTCAATTGTCACTAGAATCCAAGGTAGAGTGAATGATAACTAATCTAATTATTTTTAAGAGCTAAACACCATATACGGTTTGTTTGCATGTTCTACATTTAAAATAACGTTGCTTGTTATAGAAACAATATATTTTACTCATTCTCCGTTTCTCTATTAAAATATTACCAATTTTAATATGGTATTGCGCTATACTAGATTTAGCAAATGCATAATAATTACAATAAATATAAATGATAATACAACTAAAGTGTAGGTTACAGAAGTACAACAACGATGTAAATATTTAACTGGTTTTCATAGTAACACTAAGTATTACAACCAGTGTGAAGTTTATAGTAATACAATTACAATTAAACAATTCAATTTAAGTGCGTGTGTGTGTGCGTGTGTGTGTCTATATATATATATATATATATAGACACATATACTACTTGTCTTTGTACTAGTGGTATCAACTAAAGGTTTAGGTAAACGATACGTCTAGTTTTGTTAATTTAAAAGAAATATACTAACAAAATTAAGTT